AATCTGTGGAGCGATTTTGACGTGGAGAAAAAAGTTTTGCAACAAAAAGATTCTATATACTTATTACGTATTAATTTATTATGCGTTTGTTTTTAGTTTCTTTACGCGCAAGTTTGCAAAAAATAGGCTTTATTATCAATAAAAAGTTGCTAAGCATTTACGTTTTTAACTTTCTTGACTGGTAAAAAAATTATAATGTAATTTAATTATTAGTTTAAACGCGTATTTCGTACATTTTTAACCCAATGAGGGTTAACTGGGCCATGTTCATGGCGAGACTGTTTAAATTTTTTCCTTAAACTCGTGTAGAAGCGATAAACAACTGTTCACAACTTAACGCGAAAATAAACTTCTGGTTTTAACTTTTTCTCTTTTTTTCACACAAATTGCGCCATCTGATATAATTTTATCGAAAATATTTATTGCATTCTTTTTTATTGAATTTCTTTCGAAGTTGTTATTTAATAAACAAGTTCTGTTGTTCTGGATTCTTAAGGTTTTTCAAGTATGTTGCTTTGTAAATACTTAATCTGTTAGCACTAAAAGTGTTCCTTACTTATAGCATAATATTTTGTGTCATATATCTAATTATATATTTAGGGTAGGCATAACAATTCTGACTGTGTGGTATGATCTGTTTTGTTATTTTGACACTTGACATAATTACAAAGCTTTACATATGTTTACTGTAACATATTACGATGACATTTATGTGTAGTACATATATTTCATTTTCTACATTTTCAACATTCATACATTTTCGGAAAAATTCTTCAAAATGTAGCCATTCACCGAATAGGTAATCAATCTATGGGTCGGAATCAATGTTGTGTCTTACCTATAAGGCATACGATGTCTATTAAAGTTCTCCTACATACAACTTATTTTGTAACAAATCTTAGTAACTTATGTAGATTTCTTACTGTAGATGGAAATAGCGAATAGAATTATTGTAGCGTTAAGTTACAATTTTAAGCTTAAGTCTCATTAAACAATATATTTTATTACTTTTTGAATATGTTTATCCCAAAAGAATTATTGTCTTAATTAAGCAATGGTATTATAGAATTATATACACAAGTATAAACCACAAGTTTATGGTGTTTTTTTAAATGGGGTGGAGTTTAGGTCAGTGATCAAACATAAACAATATACAAACATTATCAAAAGCCAATGAAATTGTAAAATTATAATATACAAAAAAAAAATTACCTAAATTCAGTCAATTGTGTATAACAAACCTGTACATTAAATAACATTTTACAAGAGTTATGTACAACGCAGCCTTGTCCCGCCATCCTTATAAATCCAAAAGTCAAAATGACAGTGACAATTATCAATCTAGATCAACTATAACAGACGATCTTATGTATGTTATCTGTGGTAAAATTATCTGTGGTGGTGGTAGTATAAGGGAAGGTAGATTTACCAGGCCATAAAAAATAAGGTAAATTATTTGTGCCTTTGCAAAAGTTATGCGCAATGTATTAAATGCCCTTGAAGAGCGTATATTAGAATTAAATTTGTCCAAGTGGGAATCGAACTAGCGCACGAGAGTTTTTACCATAGACTAGGTAAATAATAGTACATAAGTATCATATTTGTTAGCTTTGTTTAGTTTTTTAAAGTGGAGCGAAAGTTAGTTTAAATAATATTTTTTTTAAGAGTACAACTAGAAAAATGAAATCATGTTTTTTCTAAGGTGATCTTTAGGTATTCCTAACTTTTTTAATCTTACAGAAGGCTAAAATTTAATGGCATATTTTACTTGAAATATTTTTAAATAACCGCGCCGCAGCCGAAGTGCCTAGTCAGAAGCTATAATACAATTTGTTAAACTGTCACCAAGTACAGGAGAAGTAAGGAGTCGATTATCAAGATTTTGTTTATTGTTTTCGTATATCATTATTAAAAATAAATAAATTTGTTCTAAGTCTAAAAGGAAAAAAAACAACAATATGAGTCATTTATAAATTTTATTGAACATTTTATCAATAAACGATAGAGCTTAGCATTGTTTTAGAAAAACACGCAAAACGTAATATCAATACGTCATGACTAAATATAACTTTGGACCAGCAAAGTTTATTTAGTCGATCACAATTTTAGGATACATACAAAAACTAAGTATTGGTTCTATAAATATTCGAAGGACAATTTAAATAAGTACGTAACACTGAAGGTAGAATTGTTTGGTAAAAATTGATATTAAATTAATTATACCTAGAATAACATTATATATCTTACGCTCACAATATGAGTATCAGTCTTATTTTAAGTTAATAGTATTTTACACCTACGAGACAATCTATACAAAGGAGTATCATATTTGTACTATTATCACTTCCAAGATTTTCTATAGACAGGGTTTTAAGGTACCACTGTGACTATTGCGTAAGAGATCTTCTGATTAGCTTTCTGACAATAAATTTCACAAAAGTGAGCTTTCATTGTGCTTTCACTGTAATTATGGTTTAAACACAGTTCAAAACATCGTTGTTCTTCTATGAAGATTTCTTTCTATGGTATCTTGTTCTTTTTACTGGAGTTTGCGGCCTCGAAGTCGGCGTTTCTACGAAGCGCGATTTCACGAAACTGTTGAAGCATTTTTGTATAGGCGCTTCCACTAGAAGACTCACTGGTATCGCCAAGACGTACGTCCACCAAATTGTTGATATTAAATCAGACGCCTGCGAAAAAAAAAATATTATTGTCAGTTTAATGAAAGTAAATATTATTTTATATATTAGTAAAAAAGAGTACAATGTAAATTTTTGAATTATTATACAAATTTTCAAAAACTGTACTGAAACAGGTATAAATTAATTTGCATATGTGAAGTACTACTACTACCGATCCCCATCGGGTCCAACGTGTTTATAATATTTCTGAAACGTGTTGGACTTCGTACGGAAATGTGGATGTTAAATGGGTGGTGGGAATATAGAAACTCCACCCGGGTCACTCACCACTGTCCACAGATGAAAAGGCCGAAAAGCTTAATCGCGTTTCGGTTTCAGTCTGTGTATTTCCGAATATACAAAGCCAAAATATCATTTGAACCCCGTACTTGCCTGTCCTCCTCTATCATTAAAAAAATATTCAACCTTTGAATAACTAACCATTTCTAGCAGCAAGGCTTATCTACAGCGCGGGTCAAAAGAGCATTAACATACACAATACAATATTTCAATACTCACTATATTTTGGACGGAAACTTCGGATAGCGTCCGACGTGAAGCAACTAACATCATGTTGACACACCAATGCAGCATCAGAACAGGTAAGGATATCCGTCCCAGTATCTGGAATAACTTCACTGCGAAAATACGACGTACGACGCCTGAAAACGAAAATATCTTGTATATTTTCCCCTTTAATATCTAACGTAATGTAACCTAATAAAAGTAGGCGTTTTTTTTATTTATATACCTACTATTATTTCATTATACTGTTGTTTATTGGTACGATAGTATTATCAATAAATAGTATTTAACCAATCGGACATATATAAAAGACAAAAATAGAGTTTAGTTTAGGTGACATTTAAAAAAAAAGTTTAGTTACATTTTAATTGTATTCACGTGTTAAATAAAATTTTTAGCCACAAAATTTTAGGCGGTCTAAAAACACAAGACGATTGTTTTTAGAATTTATTAGCTATAGTGTTATTGTCTTTGCACTTTGTTTTGAAACCTAAATTACAAACTCACTGTCAACATTATTAGCAACAGCCAACACGTAGAAGGCAGCCAGTGCAGCGAAGGCCGGTCTTTCTGCGCCCATGTACAAGGCGGTGGCGAAGCCCGACTTTGTGTCTTTAATGTAGTTACCACAGAGAATAAAGCCCACGTGTATAGGGACGATAAGGTGGAAGGTCCACACTAACAGCTGAAAATAAAGAATACAAGAATTTTATATTATTTAAAAAGCCTGATTATCAAAGACAATATAATATCTGAATATCCAAAGCCAAAATAGGGCATAGGCCAACAGCGCATCTTGTTTAATTTATTTAATAAGGTTTTCCAACTTACTAACACAAATATCCCTTAAACTACTTGAGCTAATTACAGTAAGAATAAATCGTATGTACCTAACTTATAAGTATGCACAGCTTTGTCTATGATCTAGTCTAGATATGTAGCGATATAGAGAGATAAAGACATAATACATGTTTAAATGTTATATGCCTGGGGTAATTCACCTGCTCACCATGTGAACCCTTTGCCTGTCTATTCTCCTCTGTCATAAAAAAGACATGTTTGATTTAAATTGAAACAACTGTAACCTCGTTACATATTATATTTTCGATGTGCTCAGAAATTGTGTACATAGTTTAAGATGACACAAGGAGATTGATTTGTATCTTGATATTCGTGAAATATACACGTTCTATTATTATTGTTCTATAACTAACCTTATATTTAAAGATTTTAAATCCATTCTCTTGCATATGGAAGTATACATGGGCCAATAAAAGACCCAAGAAGCAGGACGGGAGACTGCCCCAAGGCGCTACGTAGAAACGATAGAACGAAGGCACGTCGTGGAAGGTTGTACGTACGTTCCTGTAAGATAATTGACATTATTGAGTATAAAAAAACAAAGCCATTAGGAGCATATTATCAGGACTTTAGGGGTTTTTAAATAGTCTATCACAAATAATTTTTGAGGTTCCGTCCTAACGCATAATGGTTATTGACAGAGTGACTAGACCCAAAAGTTTTTTGTTCAAATTTATTTTATTGCACCGTTCAATTATAAAGAATAAACTTCAGTACGATTGATCAGTGCTTAAATTTAATGGATCCTTATGAAACGAGACAAGATCCGTAGTGTCCTAACGGATAGAAACGTGGCCGAAGTTAAAAATCCTCTCTACGCGAATTAAGCATATAAAACTAGCACTCTACATCGTGTTAATTGTCAAGGCACCGTTAAAGTGTTTGCCGCCCACTATTTAGAATCCTAGTTCGAGGGCTAATACACTCGACGTAAACTGTAGACAGTAATTTTTGGAGGAAATAGAATTTGTATTTGTTGTTGTTGTTATACAATAGATTTCTTTTCAATAAAAATAACAAACAGTGCACAATACTAAGTATACTTTACATAACAATAGAACTCACTCTGGTAGCATGATGTATAAGAGAGATTTCCAGTCGTTGAAGTAGGCGAGAACTACATTTAATAGACATGATCCGAAAAACAGCGTTGTCAGAAAGGGGATGGCACGTCTACCTGTTTGCAGCAGCCATAACGACAGAGCTGCAGCGACTACATACAACTGGAAGTCCACTGCTAAAAACCTGTAGAAATAAAGTATTATAAATAAAAGAAGAAATATATACGTAAGTAGATGGTAGGATTGAAAGTTGTACAGGCTTTATAAAACAAAGGTAAGGTACGCTTTTTTTTCTCTTTGTAGGCTTTCAAGAATTAGTAACCTTGAGATCTTATGGAGTCGTGTAATATTTTTTTCAATACTGCCTATAGTTAATTCGAGTAGTACACATTGAAAAAAAAAACACTTTAACGCGATATATATTAGTTGAACTTATTTGGAAATTATTTTAAATACGGCCCGACGTTTCGGGCCTTAGTTAAAAATTTGCTGCAGTCTCCATACCCGTCTCAGTTTAACTTGTCACATGAAGTTTTTTATTATATTTTTTTTATTCATGGGTCTTTAATAAAGTGACATATGATACACATGACTATATCTTTTTTCGCTTAAGGGCTCGTTGGTCTAATCCTCCCCGGGTATTACAGGTTTTTAAACAATTTATATTTCTTCTTCATGCTTGGATTCATCTGGAAATCTGGATATTAAATATGTTCCGTTCGAGTTACGAACTACCGAGTACAAATGAAAAAGTCGTGAAGTTTTATTTTTGTTTCAGTTTGCGAATTTCCAAATATCCAAAGGCAAAATAGGTCAACAGCATATCTTGTTAAGATGTTATTAGGCTTCCGTCGTGAACCCCCGTGTCTCCATCACAAAAGGAAGATGAGGATAGCCCTCTATTTCTCTCTTCTTCAACCACAACTTTAAAGTTTCCCTTACCAAGTCTGTAATAAGCAGTGTTCCTCTGGGTTGATAAGATTGTGCATGAAGAAGACATGACTGAGGAATTTCTTCCTGCACACTTCGCTTTCGGCAGAAACTATGCCGCTCCACTGTGGGCCGTCGCCGGCATGACGCCACCATGTTGCGGCAAAACCGATCACTAACAGGTGCACAGGAGCTAACCTGGAATAAATGGTATGAAGAATGAAAAATAATAATTAAAGCGAACTTAAAGAACAGTGTCTAAAACTTACGATGATATAATTCTGTTATTTTATAACATAACAGTTTATTTTATCCATTACGTCTGTTCGTAATTAATAAATATTTTAACTGTAGGGACATCGTGTGTAAATCGCTTAAAAATATTTTTGCTGAACGCATTTTCTGTATATTGTGTATTTATAAATAAGCTGTATTAGTTACCTAATAATCCTATGCAGCAAACACATAGGTAGCTGTGCCAAACCTAATTTCCTGGTCTTGGAGAGGACAAGCAGACTGTATCCAAACAGAAAGTTTGAGATCACCACAAAACCCATCACTAAGGCTGAACCGTTACGTATTAACATTGTCACCGATTGTTGTAGGAACTGAAACAAAATATTGCTTGTGAAAAAATAACAACATTATTAGCTTTTTATTGTTCTAGCTAACTCAAAACAATTTTGAACAAACCGGTATTCATTTAAATTAATGCATGATGTATTATATAAGTTAATTTGGGGAGCCACTCGACAATTCTCAGTCATAAGTCGTATTTATCCCTTCACAAAATTTGGTAAGGAATACAAAAGAAAAAAGAAATCCTTGACAAAAAGTATTTTTTCTTGATAGAAAAGCATGGGATTGACTCGGAGGAAGTTGAATACTCCTGCCCTATACCATCAATTCAGAAATCTTCAATTAACCACCTGTTCGAGTCGGCCGGGGTTGTACAGGTAAAGTTTGTGTTGTATCTCTGACGAGTGGGTCATCATCACCAGAACTAGCAGAAGTACGCTGAAAAGAAAACGATTCTGAATGAAAAGGTAAGTCCACTTCTAAAATGTCATACGGTGAAATAATGTAATCGCAATTTTTATCTGTCAAGCTGCGATTAAGACAGACAAGTTAACGGCCACAAAACAAAGATAAACAATTTATACAATCGACAAAACATTTTAATGATCACACATGTATTTTATTCTTTTTATAGCCATTTTAGTCGCTTTCGAAGTGATTATGATCCCAGTAATAATGTTTGCGCATCAAATGTATATTTACTGAGCCAGTATATTTTCAAATGTTGTCTTTTTGAAAGTTTTAATTTAGAAGGAAGTGTTTTATAACATGCATATTTATATAAGGATTTATAAAGTTCGAAGTTATGCTTAAATAAATGTAGTTTATCTTAAAATGCCTTTACCAAATTGATAGTTTGTGAACAGTTATGGTTTTAAATTATATACTAATTTACAATCCAGTATCTACCATATTAACGAACTGTACGTGAATTAAAAGTCCACTTCATATCTAAATAAAACCTTTCATCAAATGTAAGTAGGACTGATAATTATTAAAACGGTATAATTGTATTTCGTATATGTTATTTTAGCGACAAAAATAATTAAGTTGTAAAAGTTGAAGCGCTCCAGCTATCACGGGTTTTTGTGGTACAGCCTGGTGATAGCAGATAGACAGAAAGCGAATAAATTTAACGATATTTATATTTAATCAACAATCCCTATAGGGGTTTTTGTCTTCATATAACACGGAAGCCATATAATAAAACACTGTTTTTTATAAGCAGCCCTTTAGACAAGGTCACTAAGTTTTTATGGAACCCGTTTGTCTACTTTCAAATTGTTTATTCTGTGGTCTTCCCAACCCCGATCGAGGACTTGAAGTCATTCACATGTTGCATAACATGGATAAATAACAAAATAATTATAATAATGACTGTAGAAGGTCCAAGCCTGGGGTTTGCTTGATGTTGGTTTAAAAGTCCCAGCCTATAAGATCTAAACAAGATGCGTCGATGATTTATTTTGAATTAGTAGTATTGGGAAATCCACGGACTTAAAGACAATTGCAAATTAAACTTGAAGGGTTTTCCGTTCGTGCACGGTAAAACATGACTCGTGCGGAATTTTATTACTCCCACACATATAGATTTCGTAGACAAAGTCTAACGTGTTTAAGATTATTTTTATTTACCCACGACCCTTGGATTATTACTAATGCCTTACCACAATCGGAACAACGCGGCCGTCGAAACTTGTGTTTCAGGTTATAGCGCGACTTCCAAACTACTAAGCTTACGTGTACTACTATGCTATGTACATAGGTAGTTAGTTTAGTAGCTTTTGGGCGTATGATGTAAAAATTAAATTATATCCATTATAACGACCTGACTTTTCGATTCGTGGTTTCGGGGGCGAAACGTCGGGTCACATTTAATATTTTATTACAACGTTTGAACTAAAGATTGAATTATATTTAACTTTTTCTTACCGAATACCCTGTATGGCTGTAAGGGACGAAACACGAGGGTCTCCTTCTTCGTAAGTTGTGATCAATTTCTGCCAATTGTAGCGAACTGACCAAGCCTGGAGGTATGTGTTCTCTGAAACAAAGAAATATTTCTGTATAGGAAAACAGGATTTTAATGTAGATAAGATATAAACGGATGGGCTTGTTGGTCAAATGGTAGCTATATGGCTCAGGTCGTGGGTTCGATCCCCGCCGGATCCAACATGTTTCTAATGGAGTCGCAACGAAGCAACTAATTAACAAAACGTTCATATTTGTATTAGTATGTATCTTATTTCTCGTCTTCACTACGTATTCTGTTGGTACGAGTAAAACCATAATACTTACTACCAAACTGCAGGATGTCATACAGTGTGCCGACAACATTAAAAGCCAGGACGACACCCAACACAGCTAAAAAGATGAGTTCTGGCCTATCCAGGTTTCTAGGTTTATTTTCTCTGCTCACGCAGAAATGAGATTGTAAAGATGCCTTGACTCCTGGTGTTAAGGCGTGTTGTTCCACACATTGCTCGAAGCGGAGGGTGGTGTTGGTCTCTGATGAAGGACAGCGGGTGGTCAGACAGTATCCTCGATGAAGAAGAGTGCGGTCGAAGTGGCGAGGGTCTGATGCATATTCCTGGGGAAGATTTTTTATGGTACTAATTTGGTCCTTCATCATTCCTTTGGTTCATTTTTTGTAGCGTACCAAGGTTGGAAAACAATTCGAGGAAATGAAATTGTTCTTCTTAATATTACTCTATTTACATATTGTTTTAAACATTCCCTGGACTACGACAAATATGTCTACGCTGGCCGGGTTTTAGGGGGAAGGGCAAACATTAATTTGTGTTTATATTTTTAACTAAAATACTCATAACAGATTAACACGCGAAATATAATATTTTACTTATTTATAATTTATTTTAACTACTACGGCCCGGACGTTTTGAATGCTTTTTAGCAGTCGTGTTCACGGATCACTGAAAATGGAGGATATCCATAATGTCAACGTCAAATTGCTACAAAAGTGGCATCTGTTTTATTTATTTATATATTTAATTAGTTAAATTAAAAGTGTTTTAATTTAATGTGTACTCGCTTAAACTACAGATAATGTTACATATTTACCTTTATAAAGTTATAAGCAGATGAAGTTGTTTTCGCCTTTAGACGAAATGTGCCAGTACAGAAGAGACCTCCGATGCCCAAACATCGATCATAGTCGTCGAGATGAAACAACCTTGGTAGTTGAGCGCGCTCTAAATCTGGGGGAAGACCATCTCGATATTATAAACGTCGTGTGAAATAATGTTGTTTATGACTAATATTATAAACTAGCTGTGTCAACGACTGCGTCCTCGTAGAATAGTTATTTTGGACATCACATTTCTTTTTGCATACCTCCTGAATTACTTTAGAAATTTAAGCTGTTACACACGACGTCGTTCGCGTCCAGTAGCTGACTTTTTAAATTCATTTTTACAGTAATTTTTCCTTCATAAACTATTTTTTAAGTACCTTGAACCGTATTCGCAGCGTACGCAACGGAAACCCGAATACTTTTCCCCGTTTTTTCCACATTTCCCGCTGTTCTTTATGTTTTATAGCCTATAACATTCTCCGATAAATGCTCTTACAAACACAAAAAAAATCAATTCAAACCAATATATTAAGCGCGCTTAAACAAACAAACAAACTCTTCAGCTTGTAGTTAGTATAGATACGAAAGTAGATTGTAAAGTTGAACAACTCTTTTGCGCCAAAACAAAAAATTAAATTGAAAAAATAATAATCTAAGCGTGTTATATATTTAGTATTATTATACATTATTAATGATACATAGTATTATTTTAACACCTATATTAGACGGCATGATATATATATACTTAATGTGGTAAGCTTGAATAATGATATTTCAAAAGATCGTTTAAACGTTAATAATTAATATGTAGACTATTATATATGTAAACTTAAAGAAGCTTCGAAAGGCGTCACTCCTCTGCACAGCATTGAAAAAACCCAAAATGATGATGTCATTGAACTAATGGTAATCATGTCTCTTTTCAGAAAATAATAATTATTCAATTGACCTTGATAACACAAATAAATTTTACCCATAGTATAGTCAATCAATAAATCACCTTCAAGAATTATTTTCTAGCTTAATAGTAGCGAAGAGGCACAGATAATGCAGTAGGTTATAGATTGCAAATTATAAACTGATGGTTTAATCCACGTTTCCAAGTTATATTTCATTGGACTTTTACTTATCAAGGAATTGAATTCGAGTTGTCTAAGTTGGTACTTTGTTTTATATGATTTATATGTTGTAACCGGTAAGAATCGAAATTAGAAGGATTTTAGGATGATTAACCATGAAAACGTTAATATTTTCTCCATGTTATTGCACTGCCTGAGTCGTAGCAGGCAAGACTTGAACCGGCATCCACATCGTTCCGTGCTGTTGCCCTAACCAATTGAGCTACCGTGTTCTACACGTCATCGTCGAATTTTTTCAACCTATCAAAACATACACCTCTCGCGCAAAGCAATTTCAACCTTACTGTATTTACCGTTTTTTTATTAATTAACTACGACCATTAGAACGAACCTCGCAAACTTGAGCTAAGAAGTAACTAATAGAAGTCCTATAAAAAATCAAACAAAGGGTTTTCGTGACGCAACAAAGTTCAATGAACCAGCTGATCAGGAAAACGTACGCCTATCTCTCGCGGAACGCAATAAAATCAAAAGAGATTAAAGCAAGGTTACGCTTTTCATACTAATTTTGTTTAAAAATCAATTAATGTATAAGTATTTTCGTCGTCACTCACGACAAGTTAGCGTATGCAATAAGGATGAAACTACGGCGAACTATTTATTTGTTTAAATGAGTATCAAAAAAATATACACAATTAGCAAAATTTAAGTACGAATTTTACATATTTTTATTTGTTAAACAGTTGCTTAAAAATTTACTAAACTATTAATATCTGGAATTTTTTTAAGAGACTAAAAGATATCTTATTCTTATTTGTTGTTTTTGGCTTTTATTTATAGTTTTATATAGTTAAATAGTTCTACTTTAACAAAAATTATTTTTGTTCTTATCATCTGCGTACTTCAAAACTCCTTCCTCTATTAATTTAAAAACACGTCTATCTAACGAGATTTAAACAGCAGCGTAATAGACGAAATACTAAAACTGGATCATAATGTCGCATGTATTCACGTAACCTTTTGTATTCACTTTTTATTACTCTCCAATTTACAATCGAGTTCTGAAATGGATAATCTGTTAGAATGCAATAACGCTTTTATCAGCATTTGCATTTTTGCATACGGAAATAGCAACACGAGATAAGAGGCCCCACGAGCCTAACTGCAATGTTATGACTAATTTATATTTTCATAGTCTAAACATTGTTATCTACAAGAGCACAGTAACCGAAAATTGGTAGCATAATTTTTACATAAGTAGTACTGATTTTCGCCTTAGAAAATCATATTTCTTGTTAATTGGCCACTCTGCCTCTACATCTATATGTAGATAAAGATTAGGCAACAAATTATCTTTAGATAATCTATGAGGCCTACATCATTGAATGAGAAAGGGTTCTTCGAGCAACCTTGAAAGGCCCGAAAGAGAAAGATTGATTGACGCATTTCACACATTTCATTTATTTTTTTAAAACAGAGGAGGATAGACCAGCTTGGCTTGATGGTAGGTATACCCCAGCCGTACACAACAATGTGCGCTATCGACCTTGTTTGCTTTGGATATATGGAATTACAGACTGTCGCCGAAACGCGATTAGTTCATATCCAGATTTACAGACGAAGTCCAAGATGTTTCAGATTTTGTTAGGTTCAGATATTGATTAGGAACAAGTCGGACACTATGGGGTCGAACGCACGACCGATTGTACTATAAGCCTATTTGTTGTAAGACAAACAAGTCCATCGAACATTTTATTCCTATATCGAATACTTGATGACTTAGGTGTAATTTTTTTACATTTAAGTTGTCAAATCAAAACAAGTATTAATATTTACTTGTTTTTAATTAAGACAGACTTGCAGTCTTTTCTGTACGTCTAATAAAAGGGTATCTACAACTACTATTAATTCAATGTAGAAGTAACCGTTACTTAAACAATAAATATAAAATATCACATTATGATTTTCCTTAAACAAAAACACCAATTATTATTTATATTACCCTTTTTTATTATTTTATCGGCGGGGTAAGCGTTAATTACACATACTCGGACTGTTTACTAACAGAGTAAAAAAACATTATACTCGTAACTGTCCATGTAAAAATATAGTCTGTAAATTAATAATATCCTGTTTGTTACCATTATTAAAGAGATAAAAAATCGTAATTATAAAATATAAATTTTGGTCTTTCGGGCTGTTCGGCCGATGTGGGCGGGGGGGGGTTCTCGCCGTTTCCCCCCCCCGGGGGGGGGGCCTTTTCCGGGGGGTTTTTCCCCCCCTTTTGCCCAAAAATTTTTTCCCCCCACAAAAACAAAAAAAACCCCCCCCCCCCCCCGGGATAAGTAAAAACTATTTACTTTTATAACATTTTAGCGTGAAAGTAAATAGTTTACTTTTTTAATCGTTATTTTACTAATAAGTAAAATCTATTTTCTTTTAAAAAAAACATTTTGGGTCGAAGCGTATCGTAATTAGCGACTTAAGATATGGACATTTCTAAATGGCCGGTTTAAATTATTCCAGTCCAGAGTAACGGTTTTGTTTGTCACACATACACATATCATCAAATTTATTGTTTTTTTATCATTATATATTAATTAGATGGCAAATTAATGTATTATATACCTATTTAATCTTTTGAATAAGCGCTTTACTTTTTTCTCGATAAAAAACGAATAAATAGAATGTCACCACTGCATACTATAAATAACTTTTGAAAAGCACGTAAAACTAATAAATTCTAATACACATGAAAAAATATAGAGACACCTTTATAATAAGTTCACGAAACGGTCAAAAAAGTAATTATCTATCTAACAAGCGGTAAGAGTCACTTAGTACTTAAACAGTTGCTTAATGGCATGCCAGGGTTGTAGTTCTTCTTTATCTTTTAATCTGCCTTCAATGATACACGTTAAGGTTCAATACGGATTTGCAACATTTACCGGTACCATAGTTATAACCAATTAATGATAATTTAACTAATTATTTATTTATACTACGAAATTTTAATTCTGAGGTACTTTATTTGTGTGGGTTTGTTATGTGTTATACGTGTGTGTTAGTAAATAAAGCAACAGTACCGGTATATTCCCTTGCTGCAAATATAGGCACAGATAGAGCACAGAAGAGAAGAAGACGGAGGGCCATTGTATTGCGCGGGTCCAGGGCGGCGGCAAAATGATGACTAGAAGCGGCCCGCCCGCCCTTTCATATATAAAGCGTCGGCTGTACAACACCCCTGACATTGCACTTTTAAATGCCTCGCTTTAAGGCGGATTATACGCGGACGGTTAGTAGCGTTATGGTACTAAAATAATCGCTTTCAAATATGTTGACAAATATCAATTACATGTTTTAAAAGCATTGCAACTAAATTTCTATTTTTTACTTAAAAAATTAAAAAAAAAATCTCAATAGCTTTGTTAATTTAACGTTTATGGAAATATCTTTAAG